GCGTTGATCAGATCGACAAAGAGGTAAGAAACATCGACATTATGTTAAAAATCAGCCCTTTTTGTAATACCTGTAGAGAAAATAGATTTTGTGTTCTGATTTAATATCTGATGAAAACATTTGTATTTACCAAATCCACCAAATCGACTTTGTTGTTTGAATCATCTTGAATTGAATGCAAATAGCTAATCACCATCAAATGTGAAAAAGGTCAAGAATTTGTGATGGGTTTTGTTTCTTAAACCTCTTTTTTGTGTTCTGGTTTTGGAAATGTTAATAGGGTTTTGGGTTGTGAGCTTTGAGGAAGAGGAAAAGGTCAATCGTGAAGAAACGATGTCGTTTACAGGAACTCAGCAGAAATGTAGAGCGTGCGAGAAGACAGTTTATCCTATGGAGCTTCTCTCAGCTGATGGGATCCCTTTTCACAAGTCTTGCTTCAAGTGCTCTCATTGCAAAAGCAGGCTTCAAGTCAGTTTTTTTTTTGCTCTTTTCCTCTTTGAATGTTTGGTCAATTCTTGTATATATCTACATTTGATGTTCTCGTTCGGATTAAAGATTCAAGCTTGAATGGCCAAATTCCCTTGAGCAATACATGAATATAGTTAGTAGTTGTGTGAAAGTTTAGGTTTTTCTTAACCTCATTTGCTTTCTCTTATCATTGATCAATTCCTCGATATCGTCATTCTGAGTTTAAGATTCATCAGTGGAGCTTGAATGACCAATTTTTCCATAAGCAACTCCTGAATGTAGTTATTAGTTAAGGGATTCATGAAGAGTTTTGTCTAGAGAGAGTAATCGTTGGCTTAACCGAGATAACGAAATTGGTCTGCTTTATATTCAACAGCTGAGCAATTATTCATCAATGGAAGGTGTGTTGTACTGTAAGCCACATTTTGAGCAGCTCTTCAAGGAGACTGGTAGTTTTAACAAGAACTTTGAGTCACGTATGTAACTCTTTTCTTCACCTTTTGTTCCAACTTTTACTTGTGGTCTCACTTTAATTTTATCTTCATACTTGCTTTCCTCTCACAGCTGCGAAACCATTGTCTGACAAACCAACCCCTGAGCTGGTAAACGCTTCTCAACAACAGTCCATGTCCTTATTTAGTTACATGACTTGAGATATATGACTCTATTCTCTTCTTTGTTGTTCTCAGACAAGGACACCTAGTCGAGTTGCTGGAATGTTCTCTGGAACGCAAGACAAATGCGCTACTTGCAGTAAAACCGTGTATCCTATCGAAAAGGTTGATATACATTTAAGCTTAATACCACTTTCGCTCTTGGTATATTCCATTACCGTTTCTTTCCACTTCACCTTTGCGTTCTCTCTGTGATCTTTATCGAGAAAATCACAGTAAAACTTAGTTGGATCATTTGCAATACGAGTCACCTGGACTTGGATTACATAACACAAAAGGAACTTTGAGATCTCTCTTTACACCGTCCTTTCTTATATCCTATTGTTCTGTTTTCTAAACACTGCAGGTAACCGTGGAAAGCCAGTGTTACCATAAATCTTGCTTCAAGTGTTCTCATGGAGGCTGTTCGATTTCTCCATCGAACTATGCGGCGCTCGAGGGAATTTTGTACTGCAAACACCATTTCGCTCAGCTTTTTAAGGAGAAAGGAAGTTACAATCACCTCATCAAATCTGCTTCAATCAAACGCAAC